AAAAACAGGCTTCGCGTTCTGAAGGCATCGATGTTGGATAGGGAAGAATTGACGAGCTACACTCCTGCCTGTTGACCTAGCCATCCAAAATGGCTCACCCAACACGGCACTGAACGACACGTTTGCTTGGTTGCTTGCCTTCACCCAACACCCCTATTCATCTATATTCATCCCTATTCCCATTTCATCTGTCTCAGGGAAAAACATCTTCAAACTGCCAGGCCATGCCAGGCTGCTGAGCAAGGACTGCAATGGACTTCATGACGAATGCCATGGCTTTAGCGAGTTTGACGAGTCTTCGCAAGTCGAAGTCGCTCGAGTCACAGTTTGGCCGTCTCCCACCCTCGAGCCCCGGCGAAAGCAAAGGCCAATGTGGAGATCACAGGGCACTGTTCTTGCTGATTCCACCCAGGCCACACCAATCAGTTCATGTCATTCGATCTTCAGAGTGAGTAATTATTTAGTTATAGCATGTAATAGCCCTTTATCCTTGCATTTCTAACGCTGAGAGCTACAACAGGAACAAAAGCCAACTTTTGGACAACAACCGCAGCCCTGAGGCCTGAGATTTCCACAAGTATTTAACACTATATAACCTGCCCAAGCATGAATGCAAGTTCATTGCGACAGCAACAGCACTTTTTTGAAGATGATTCCTTAGGCTTCCAGCAGCCAACAAAGCCCACTGGACAGGCTGCATGGCACAGACAGCCTACGCAAACCACATCCTCCGGTTCCAAGCGTCTGTGCTGTAGTTCAGGTGATGCATGATCCCCCGCAAGGTGCTGGCGACGTAGGACCTCACCGAGGAGAGAAATGTTATTTTTACCGTTCGGAGAGCTGAAGGAAGAACATATATGTATATAACTCTATGTATCTCTATCTCTATATCTACACCCTGGAAGTCAAAAACTAGGTTTAAAAAAAATGGATGACCCAAAAAAATGTTTTTGACTTCGATGGTATATACATATATCCATATCGAATACAAAGAGTTGTCGCTGTTTCTGTTGTTTCTCCAGCACGTGAGAGCTGCTAAGAATCACGTGTCGATGCAAATGCTATCATGTATAGGAGGCCGATTTCTCATATCAACTCCTGCAATAACAAAGGGCCAAATAGCCTGCTGGAAAAAACTTCAGGCAGCCGTTATGCCCATCAACATAGCCAACCAAGGTAGCTTCAAGACCATCAAACAAATCTAACACAACTAATTACGAGTAGTAGTAGCTTCTTGAGGGAAATGATCTCCACATGCCCATTCCAGGCTTTTGAACTTTTGGGAACGAATTCTGAGTCACAGGTCACAGAACTGTTTCATGTATGTCGCTTCTGGATGCTGTGACACATTGGGGCAAATCATGGCTCCACCTATATCTGGCTGAGGCACACCGTCATGCCTTCCTTCTCGGTGGCGGAGATCACGGTCATCACCTCCACTAAAACGCCGACCAACATATACATGATGGTCACCTGAGTCATGCTTCTCCGCAATGATCATCTCCATGGTCGGCAAAAACACACGTTGGAGAATCTGAGAAGAACTGAAGAAGTGAAGTGGGTTTTTGATTTGCCAACAAACTGGTGGCTCCATGAAAGTGTCCAACAAACTGGTGGCGAACGGCGAACGACCCTTGTATCTTTCTCCCAGCTCCCTATCCATGGTTCGGTTTCACAATCCAGTCCTTCAAGATTGAACACATGAAGTGACTTGCCGCTGTTCGAGCTGACCCTTCCAAATGCGTAGGACACCCTACAGTTTGGGACATCCAGCTCTGGGACGTTCAACCACCAAGCGTTGACCTGCCTAGCGCCGGTGGTTCGCTACATGGTGGACCAGGAGGGCTCCAGGTATATATATATACCTGGACCCTGGAGAGCTGTATGTTTTTTTGTCTCGACTTTTAAAAATCGGCGCAGCCCAACCAGTTTTTGGTCTCATGAGAAGGCCTAATCTGGGACCATTGCAAGGCCTGGATTTGAAGCATCATCCGCTAGGCTATGAAGTTGTCAAGCGGAAAGTGCAGGCAAGTAGAAAGAGATTCATCAACCGTCATCGAATATCATCGAATCATGTTCTCAAAAGATTGCAGTAAGCTAGCCCAAACAGCCCGGAAAGTCTTTTTCACCATCCACACCCGTTCCAATTGCGGAATCGCTGGTCTTCACTGACCAACAGCAGCCGCTGCTGGCGAATTGGGTGGCACAATCCACCTGCAGGCCGGCCGATGAGAGTGCGCCAGGAGCGAACATATGCAGTGGATTGAAAGATAGGTTGGGACTCTTCAGAATACTTTGTGGATTTTAGACATGATTTAGATCGGCATGTATCCATTTGCTTCATGGAGTCTACAGTGACTGTGACCAATACTTTGGCCCAAAACTATTGAATTCATTTAGGCCTACTTGATCTAGCCCGGCCCCTTCAAGTTGTCTTAGGCCTAGCCCTGTGAAACGCTGTGTGGGTATGCCTTCAAAGAAATTTGTTGATGGCCCTGTGTCTGGGGATCCGAAAGCTGTGGCTGATGGATGGCAGGGATTGCCAGAAGTGATCGACCGTGTGTGCAAAGGTGAAAGGCTGATCATAGACCACAAAGACCCCGATTCCCAAACAGTCTTGTCGAGCAGAGAGAACATGATCAGAAACTCTTCTATCTTGACAGAGCTCGCGAGAGACATGAGCCGACGTGGTCGTTGTGGTGCTGATCCGATAGATGTGATTGCCGAGATGACTGTGGCTTTCTACCAAAAGAACCCTGTGTACCAGAGGGCCAATCCAGAGTTCAACATGAAGGTTGTGGCCTACAACAACGCCTGGGGCATCCACAAAATGATGTCACGGTTGAGAACCTCACTGTCCAAACACAAGTGCACTCGAGCACCTCGCCTGAGATGCCACACATTTTTGGTTTGAATGGTAAACCTGCCCTCTAGGACTCTAGGCTTTTGCAACTCCTTTTTGTTTTTATGTTCTCAGCTTCCAATGCCTTCCCAGGATGTGGAGTTGCAAGAAGCCTTCAACTTGCTGAAAAAGGTGTACATAGCTCGGATGAAGGCCGGCGCAGTCAGCGCAGTCAAAATTTTAGACTTTGGATGTTAACTTTTCTAAGCATTCTGACCTGAAGGTCATTGGAAGCACATGGTCAAAGTTCTTGATTTGATTTTCACCCTTTCCAGGATGCTGGTGTACAACAACAACAACTTGAGGAAGGTGAAACACAGACCCCCGTCAACTTTGATGGGTATGAAGAGCTGGAGGAGTCGGAGGGGGCGCAGGTTGAGAATGCTGGTCAAAACAGGGCCAGTGACCAAGACGCTGTTGGCCCAGCCGACGTTGATTTGCTTTCTGCCAGCTATCTTGACAGCTTGTTTACTGAAGACTTCCCCACGCCCATGGATGTGGACCATGAGCCCAAAGAAAGTGAGGCCGTCGCGACTGAAGGTACTGAAGAGATTGCTGAAGCGCAAGGTCCTTTTCCTGGGTGTGGTGACCGTGAATCTTTGGACATGGTGTTGGCAAAGGCTGCAGCGCCAAAGGGCCCTCATCTTCTGTCTGATTGGGACAATTCCAGGCCTCCGACCATCAACATTGAGGACAGCCCAAGCGAGAGCAAGTCTGCCTCCCATGACTTCGCTGCGGCGGCGGTGTCTGGGACAGCCTTTGAGAAGTACGATCGGCTCCAGAAGCTTCTTGAGACAATGAAAGGTCGCATCAAAGAGCTCGAGGCTGCTTCTGCTGCAAAGCCTTCAGGATGTGACGTGGTTGGCCCCTCAAACTGTGGAGCTTCCTCTTGCGATGTGGCAGCCACTTCTGAGCCCAGGTTTGAGCGCACTGGCTCAAGCGTTGACATCGGTGAAACACTGCTTCAATGTGATGTGGCAGACACGCAAGCAGCGTTCAACATTTTTCTCGATGAGACCTTGCCTCTTGATGTCTCAGAAGAGGTTCCCAAGTTGCATCGCACCAGCGCTCCGCCGGCCAGGTCTCAAGATGTTGAGCCTTCACAGCGGGATGTCAACATGGACAACAATGATGAGCAGGAGATTGCGCCCGTCAACTTGGACTCTGCTTTCAAAGCTGCTTCCTCAGAGCCCGAGCAGGCTGCTGAGCCGACCATGGATGCTTTGGAACCTATCCACCGCAAGTGTGAGGATCCACCTGTTGAACCTGTCGGAGAGGACCTGCCCAAGAATGATGGCGGTGGCGGCGAACCTCCGGCCGAGCAAGCCTCCAAAGTTGGTGCCGCTTCTGAGCTGATCTCCCCCGTCAAGGACCTTGATGTTTCAAAACTGGTTTGGGAGTGATATCTTTAAAGTGTCAGTTGTGACGGTGTGTTTTCATGTTCTTTACAATTATCTTCTTGGTGCTAATGTGCACCTTCGCCATGCACAGGAGCCTCCGGCTACCAAAGAAGACCAGCTCAAACTGGCAGCCGCGGCCAAAGCAAAGGCGAAGGCCAATGCTGCCAATAGGGCGGAGGGCAAGGCCAAGGGGAAGGCCAAAGCCAAGGCCAAGGGGAGACCCAAGGCCAAGGGCAAACCCAAGGCCAAGGGGAAACCCAAGGCCAAGGCAAAAAGCAAGGCAAAGGCCAAAGCCAAGGCCAGTTCCCAGCTGCCCGAAGGCGAGGTGCAGCCGGAGGCTGATGCACTGCAGCCTGATGGTGCTGACAAGGCCAAGCAACCACGGAGGCCGAGGAAGACCAAAGCGGCAGCAAACAATGAGGATGTGAATGCCCCAGAGCCACGGCCTCCAAAGGCCAAGACAGCTCGAATTGCTGAGAAGGAGAAGGACAAGACTGATGGGCTTCCCGCAGATGTCAAGAAAGCCGATGATGAGGGAAAGATTCCCAACACCTTTGGGGGCCGAGCCCGCCCAGAGGGGGGATGGGCATTCGAGAAATATGCCAGGACCACGATGGCCTTCGAGGAGAGCATTCAGCCAAGCTTGCCAAAGGGTGCCAAGAACAAAGCCCAGGCACCACAGTTTTTGTTTGTCTGATCCCTGTACTGTATGATTTTTTTAGTGTATCAACTTCAGTGGTTTCACACAGTTTGATGAAAACCAAAATCTGTGTGCCCTGAAGATCCTGTTCTGCGGCATGGTCACGGCGGAGAAGAAAGCCAGCAAGTCCAGGGACCCTTCCGATTTCTCCTACATTGTGGCCGCCACAGAGAAGTTCTTTGCTGAATGGAAGTGAGAACCCAAGATTTTTGGGCATGTGTTCAACTAAGTTCCAATGAACAACACAAGTTCACATCGATTCCGGTTCTTGCCGCAACAACTCAGGAAAGTGGAGACACCGCCCAAGGAGAAGCCTGGACGGAGGGCAAAACCTGATCCTCTGGCTCCTTCTGAGACCGTGCAGAATGCTGAGATGAAGGAAGCCTCTGGTGGCGACAAGCCATCTTCTGAGGGGGCAGATTGAGTAGAATTTTGCGATTGTTGTCTGCTGGCAGTGGGGAGTGTGAAGGCCCTGAGGGTAGCTTGCGTCTGGGAGTCAAGAACGTCAAGGCCCATACCACCCAAATCCTGCCTCTTCAGACACCATGTTTGATCAAGCTGTTAGGTGGCCAGCTCTTAGACAGCCGTACTCGTCTGGAATGTGTGAACTTTGTTGAACAAACCCTGTTGGAAACCAGCCTTGGTGGACGAGTGGCTGGCGAATGCTGGCGAGAGGTGACTTGGATGGAGTTCCTAGTTCATGGGGCAGCGCGCCTCCTTGGAAAAAGACACCCCTCGTGCATTGCATCTCGAGGACTCCTGAACTGGGTAATTCTTGCACGCTTGAAGATTTTACACACATTCCTCTTGCTCATGGCCTTGGAGGCCTGCGGAGCCATGAGCGTGATGAAGGCTTTGCGTGGGAAGAAGCGCGAGGCCAAAATGGGGTTGCTTGATCAGCCCCGTTCAAGTCAATCTGGCATGATTTCGGGCTCCGCTACCAAGTCATGGAAGCAACGGCAGTCACGTGCTTCATATTACACACTGCATC